AAAAAAAAGAACCCTCTTGTATATATTTGCATGTTTCACCAGAAAGTTTTCAAACATGTTACTTTGTTTTTATACTGTGTCATCAAGTTGGAACCGACCTATAGTGACCCTAAGAGGCCTTTCAAGATAAGTGAGATATTTAAGGAGTGATTTTTACCAGTTCCACTCCCCCAGTGAGCTTCTATGGCCAAGAGGGGAATTCAAACCCTGGGGTCCAAAATCCTAGTCCATCACTCTATCCACTACACCACACGTGTTACTTGACTACTTTTAAAAAACCTGTCAACTGTGGGTCATCTCTTGCTCTATCAGTATAAATATCTTCAGAATACTTCTTCACAGCTGTTCAGCCACTTTTATATGGTACCTATTCATCATCACAGCAGACTTCAATTGCTATAAATAACTGGGTGCCATCAAACAAGTTCTGATTTATGGTGACCCTTTTCAGGGTTTTTTATGTAGCAAGTCCTCAGAAGTGGTTCCGCATTCCCTTGTCCTGGGGGCACCCTGGAACTGTGCAGCTTGCTCAAGGCTACACAGGCTGGCTCTACTCTCTGCATATGCAGTGGGGAATCAAACTTCCAATTTTTGCTCTGCAGCAAGATACCTAAACTGCCTAGCTATATAGCCAGCTATTAAGGGTCTAACCACGCAATAAGTTGTCTCACTGCAATGTGAACTCCATAATCCACTGCACAACGATGGCTGCCTAAGTGTAAAGCCCAGCATACTTTGTTTACATTACACCAACTTAGAAAAGATTTCAGCCAGTATGTTAACACCAAAAGATTAGCATTTGCATTTATAGGAGGACAAGCTAAATGAGGCATCTGAAGAACAACATTTTAAAAGTAATATCTGTCATTACTTTTTAAACATTGTTATTTTTTTAAAAAAAATATTAGGTATAGTCTTCCTGTTTTACACACAAGAGATGATTTGTGTAAACAGTACATGGGTTTCCAGTCGAGTTTATTCATCTTTATTGTTAAAATAGTCCGAACTTTTGATGGCAATATCCTGCGCAATCTTCAGCAGGGAAGGCAAGAAATCAGTTCAAACAAAGCTAATCTTAAATACTGTATTTTTTGCACCATAAGACTCACTTTTTCCCCACAAAACAGGGGGGTGGAAAGTCTGTGCGTCTTATGGAGCGAAGAAAACAGATTATATTTTCCTGTTTTCTTCTCCTAAAAAATTGGTGCGTCTTATGGAAAGGTGCGTCTTATGGAGCGAAAAATACGGTACCTCCAGATACAATCAAAACCAGCTGGGTGGACATTCAGACCAAACTCAAGCAGATTAACCCTAAAGAGCCGGAGATGATTTAATTGTGAATACATTCAATCCACTGTGCTATTTCAAAGCTCTGGACAACGAACACAGCTTTGAAGGGTGGAAATAAATGGCATGTCACAAAAATGCCACAATCTTTAGGTATCTGATTCCATAGAAACCATAGTTCTTGCATAACTGTGTTTCTCACCACTCAGATAATATAGGTTCAAGGGCATCACATTATACAGTGGTGCCCCGCATAGCAAGGTTAATCCGTTCCGGATTAACCCTTGCTATGAAGAAACATCACTAAACGGGACACGAAATGCCATTGGAACGCATTAAATTTAGTTTAATGCGTTCCAATGGCTTCTATACTCATCGTTAAGCGAAGTTTCCTCATAGCGCCGCCATTTTCACGCCCTCAGTAAGTGAGGGCAGGGCGCGAAAATGGTTGCAGCGGCCATTTTGGGTCATCCAGCAGCCATTTTGAAGCCGCCGAACAGCTGATTTCCCGGCGAAATGCTTACCGATCTTCGCAATGCGAGTTTTGGCCATAGAGGCCATCAGTAAGCGATCGCATTAGCGATCTCAAAAAAGAGATCGCTGTGCGATTTCATCGTTATACAGTGCGCTCGTTAAGCGAGGCACCACTGTATATACTTATATTTTACAATGCAATCAAACAGCAGTACAAGGTGCATTTAGGTTATGCGGGATAGGGTAGATTCACTGGGTGCAGTCTCATTTAAAGGGGTGTGTCTTGGACATGTGACCCATTTCCAATTGCTCCATCCCAGCTGCAAAAACCAAACAAACAAAGAAATGAAAAGCAAGGAGTTGCCCTGTCTTTGAGCAAAAAAAGCTCTGGACTGGGAATGGAGCCGGAGTAGCCTGGCCTGCAATCTTCTGTTCATGACATTGACACCAGAAAACAGATCAAACCAGACCCTGCCATGGGCGGTCCACAAAGCAAGCTAAATGGCTTTCTGATCACATGCTTCTAACTGACAAGTTCACTCGTCAAGAACACTCTTCTTTCTTTTCCTCTCTAGGTATCAGCCATGGCTCTGTGGTGGCAGGCGTTATTGGTGCTAAGAAGCCCCAGTACGATATCTGGGGCAAAACGGTGAACTTAGCCAGCCGAATGGACAGCACCGGCATCAGTGGCAGAATGCAAGTGCCTGAGGAAACATATCTCATCCTGAAGGACAAAGGATTCGCCTTCGACTACCGGGGAGAGATTTACGTCAAGGGCATCAGCGAGCAAGAAGGAAAAATCAAAACGTATTTTCTTCTGGGAAGAGTACAGCCGAACCCTTTAATCTTGCAACCCAGAAAACTGACCGGGCAGTATTCCTTAGCTGCCGTGGTATTAGGGCTTGTACAGTCTCTTAACAGGCAAAAACAAAAGCAAATCCTGAATGAGAACAATAATTCTGGGATCATTAAGGGACACTACAATCGGCGGACTTTGCTAACGTCCGGAGGATCGGAGTCGGCAGCCCAAGTGGAAGGCGCCGACAAAACTGAATTGCCATAAGCCTGCATCTTTCTCTGTGTCCTTTTCTTTTTTTAATTTCTTTTATATATAAACTCTGCTGGCCAGGATTTCTGGTAGTTAAAGTCCAAGAACATCTGGAGGCCCAAGCTTGGGGACCACTGCTCTAAGACACACGGCTGTGCAGGCGACTCTGCCGCATCCTTCTCCTCCTCTGCACAGTGTTTGTTTTCACACGGTCACATGGGGAATGACTATGAACTAATCCTGGCCATGACAGTTGAGGTTTAGAATAGGCATTCTCTCCCCTAATTACCTTGACTCCAGCAGGCATATGTAGGTAAAGGTAAAGGTTCCCCTTGACATTTAGTCCAATTGTGTCTGACTCTAGGGGTGGTGCTCATCCCCATTTCCAAGCCATAGAGTCAGCGTTTGTCTGCAGACAATCCTCCGTGGTCACGTGGCCAGCGCGACTAGACACGGAATGCCTTTACCTTCCCACCGAGGTGGTCCCTATTTATCTACTTGCATTTTTACATGCTTTCGAATGGCTAGGTTGGCAGGAGCTGGGACAATCAACAGGGGCTCCCTCCGTTGCATAGATTTGATCTTACTGTTGGAATTAGTTCACACTGACCTGTGTGGGCCAATTAATGCGCCATCAATGGGAGGCAACAGATATATTCAAATTAGCTGGCTCTTCCACTGCACATTTTACTGGAACTTAAGCGAGTTCTAAGAACTCTCAACACTTACGACGGCTGGTCTTCTGACTTTACAGCACAGAGGCTTCTACGGTTTAACCCGCAGCACCACCATGTCCCTCCAGCAGGCATATGTAACATAATGTTTAATTTTGTTTTATGGTGACTCTTTCCAGGATTCTCTAGGTAGAGAGTATTCGGACAGTGGTTTGCCATTCCTTTCTTCTGGGGGCACCCGGGGATTGTAGCGCTTGCCCAAGGCCACACAGGCTAGTTCTACTCACAGGAGGCACAGAGGAGAATCAAACCCAACCTTTCAGCCATGTACTCAATTCATCCAAGCAGCTAGTTATCTGCAGAGCTATTCGCCTGAGAAAGAATGCATGAAAAAAAAACTGTTTAACTCCTAGCAGTGACCAATTAGAAAACAAAAGCAGACTAATTTTGCAAAGGCAAATAGAGGCAAGCTCATGTTAGAATAAATAGCCAGCCTTTTTTTTTTCCTATTAGAAAAGCCTCTGCTTCCAGCGTTGTGTTAAATCTGCTGTCAGGTTTGGTCCACTATAACAAATAATGAAATCAAACTCCTTATGAAAAGTAATTTTTCATGATCCAGATGCTTCTCCTACTGACCATTTTCTCATTTTCTCCCCCTATCATTCATTCCCCTTCAGGCCTACAGCAATTTCTCTGCTGCATGTTCTTGCTCCCACTGACTATTTTTATAGTCCTCATATTCTCATAGGGACGTGGTGGCGCTGTGGGCTAAACTGCAAAAGCCTGTGCTGCAGGGTCAGAAGACCAAGCAGTCGTAAGATCGAATCCACGTGACGGAGTGAGCGCCCGTCACTTGTCCCAGCTCCCACCAACCTAGCGGTTCAAAAGCATGTAAATGCGAGTAGATAAATAGGGACCACCTCGGTGGGAAGGTAACAGCGTTCCGTGTCTAATTCGCACTGGCCATGTGACCACGGAAGATTGTCTTTGGACAAACGCTGGCTCTATGGCTTGGAAACGGGGATGAGCACCGCCCCCAGGAGTCGAACACGACTGGATGAAAATTGTCAAGGGGAACCTTTACCTTTACCATATTCTCATGAAGTGCTGCATTGCAAAGTAGCCTGGTTCTGAGGAGGCGTCTTGGGGGAAGCCCCACTTCCAGCCACCATCGTTCCCTAGAAGATTGCTGTTTTCCTTGAAGGTGCTATGAGACAATGTCACTTAGAGAAGTTATGCAAGGAAGGAGCGCACTAGCCACTCACTGGGGGACTCACAGTTGCTTTACTAGTAAATGTTTGACACTGAACCCCATCAAAATGATGAGAGAACCCCTATTCAGCTTAGGCATGGGCTTAGGTTATTTGTTCCTTGTTGTAACATTCGCTTCGTGGAGAGAGAGATGTGGACAGAGGAGAGATTTTTCTTCCTATGTAGGTTCCCTACATGAGATATAACTCCTGTTTTCCAGGGCCCTAACTTGCTCACACAGGAGGGCTTGGTGTGCTCTGGTCCATGGGGTCACAAAGAGTCGGACATGACTAAACGACTAAACAACAACAATTTGCTCGCACAGAGAGACAGCACACCAGCAAAAAACTGCATCGTTGCTGACACATTGCTCTCCACATAAAGAAAGAAAACAACAAAGTAGGGTCTATGATTGATTGATTGATTGATTGATTGATTGATTGATTGCACTTACAGTGGACCCTTGACTTACAGACAGCTTGACTTACAGACTTTTTGAGTTACAGACTTCTCTGGCCGCAAAATTTAGGTTTGACTTGCAGACTGAGATTTGACTTACAGACCAGAAAAAAACCAAAATGGAACAAAAACGGCCTGTTACGGGATTAATCGGTTTTCAATGCACTGTAGGTCAATGGAGACTTGACTTACAGACTTTTTGACTTGAGAACCGCCTTCCAATACAGATTAAGTTCTCAAGTCAAGACCCCACTGTATATGCCACCCATCTAAAAATAGTCTACTCTGGGCGGCTCACAACAGACAAGATAAAAACAGGTAATATATAGATACAGCTTTACAGCATTATACAATGAAAACAATAGTTCAAGATGGGAAGAAGAAATTTAAGTAGTGCCTGGAGGGAAGGCCTGTTTGAATAACTAGGTCTTAAGTTGGTTTTTAAAAATGCCCAGTGAGGGGGCCAAATGGAACTCGGAGTGGAGTTTGTTCCAGAGAGAAGGAGCCGCTGCCAAGAAGGCCCGGTGCCTTATTTTTTCTTTCCGGACCTCCCTTGGCATTAGACTCCTCAGTCACCCCTCCTGACTAGATCGAGTGGTAGGGGTAGATCTAGGTGGGAGAAGGCATTCCGTCAAGTATCGAGGCCCTAAACCAGGGGTGGGCAATTAATTTTTATAGGGGGTGCACATGAAAAATCTGAACTGTGTTCGGGGGTCGAACCAACTTTACTTAAAAATAAAATGAAACATTGATGTTATGATTGTTTTTATTTTAAACTTGTTAATCTTCACAAATACTAAAGAGGCTTTTTGCAGTATGTTAAAGATAAGCAGCTGATCAACTTTAGACAAAAAGCTATAAATGGTTTTGATGTTCAAAACTGTCCGCAGGCCGGACAGGAGCGGCTCGGGGGCCGTATGTGACCCTCGGGCTGCACTTCGCCCAGGTCTGCCCTAAACCGTTTAGGGCTTTGTATGTAATCATTAAAACTTTGAAATCAACGCGGAAGCATTGGGGCAACCAATGCAAGGTGGCTAGGGTGGGAGTGATGTGTTGGTATTTCCTCACTCCACTGAGAAGTCTGGCCGCCACATTCTGAACCATTTGAAGCTTCCGCATCAATCTCAAAGGTAGCCCCACGTAGAGCGCATTACAGTGATCTAATCTCGAGATTACTATAATGTCCCTGTTCACATGCTGGAGAACTAAGTAGCATGTGTAGAGGGCTGTATTGTGTTGTTTGGGATGATTGTGGGTCATATAAATGGTGATCAATGGCCAAGAATCTCACTGCTATGATCTCTAGCAGAGATGGGCATGAACTGAACTACAAACCACAAAAATCCATGAAGCAGGCTGTTTTGTGGTTTGGCTCATGCAAGCCATTTTGCTGAGATGAAACACAGCAGCAAACTTTTTCCCATGTAGCACTTTGTTTTGTCTTGGCAAAACGGATGCCCCCTTCCCACTGACCCCATCACCACCCTACGGGGTCCTGCTGCCGCCATCTCTTCCTCTTCCACTGCTGCCAAATTCAGAGACAGTGGCCTGGCTTCCCTTCTAGGAGCCGGGCCATCTGTCTGTGCATGTACACACCTATCGGTGGAGGCATTGGGTTCCCCTCCTCAAAGGCACAAACCAGTTCGTTTTCCTGGGGTTCAGGGGTTGGTTTGTGGTTCATGAGTAGCCCCAATCATGAACTGCCCTGATTCATCATTTTTTTTCCAGTTCATGCCCATCTCTAGTCACTAGTCACAAAGTTTGTACCATCCACCCCAATTTTGCTGCCACACACTCTGAAGATCATACAAAACATCTCCATTTTTAACTCCGTACAAACAGGAGGATGTATTATTTTGTTCAGCTCTTCATTGCTGACTTTTTCTTGCTTTTCAGCTTTTGCTAGAAGTTAATGTGAAGTTTGGGGTTTGTTCGAAGATTCAGACATCTGATAGGTAATTCAAGCCCAGGAATACCAGAAGCCCTTTTGGTTTCTCTTTAGCATTTCCTCCCAGACTGCTTCCCCTCCATCATGCTCCTTCTTCCCCTAAATGTGGATGTGTTTTCAGAGATGTGCAATTCATTATATGCTCATCCAAGGGTAGAGACAGGTGATAAGCAAAGAGGGGTCACATTCCTATAGTGATGTACAGAAGTGAGAGCTGGACCAGAAAGAAGGATGACCACCGAAGAATTGATGCTTTTCAATTGTGGTGCTGGAGGAAATACTTGAGAGTCACCTGGACTGCAAGGAGATCAAACCTATCCTTTCTGAAGGAAATCAACCCTGAGTGCTCACTGGAAGGACAGATCCTGAAGCTGAGGCTCCAATACTTTGGCCATCTCATGAGAAGAGAAGACTCCCTGGAAAAGACCCTGATGTTGGGAAAGTGTGACGGCAAGAGGAGATGGGGATGACAGAGGATGAGATGGTTGGACAGTGTCATTGAAGCGACCAACATGAATTTGACCCAACTCCGGGAGGCAGTGGAAGGCAGGAGGGCCTGGTGTGCTCTGGTCCATGGGGTCACGAAGAGTCGGACATCACTAAACAACTAAACAACAACAACAGTAATGCAAAATAGCTTTCTGCGAGAATCTGAGAAGCAACAGCTGTCCCTAAAAATGCCTCTCACACTTGCTGCTC